CCACATTTAGAAACACGATAAGCCACTTCGTTGGACTATTCATTTGTGGCCAGGTCGCTTCTGAAAAAGAGTTACATAGCTCAGTGGGCCTTACCTGGTAAAATTAAAAATAGTTGAAAATGCCAGTATTTCAGTCTTGAGATAACAATTGGATGATCTAATGTGTCAAAAGGCTTTTGATGGGTCAATGAAGACGGATACACATATTTGATTCTCATCTTAAATGATGTTGGTATCATAAAAGTGCTCAAAGCAACGTATGTGGCGCTAAGCACTGGCATAAGCCAGATTGCTTTGAATTTATGATAAATCCTGCCTCTAAACAATACCAATTATAAAACAGTTGCTGATCTACTAAATTAACCAGGATACTTGGCTGTATGCACAGATTTGATATTCGTCTGCACTGTAGTTATGTACTGATTACTACTCCACACTTTTAATAGGGATGCTAATTTTCAAACACGAGGTACCAAAATAAAAATGATTGACAGCTGAAAAAGATGCGTGTTTTTTGGACCACAATGGTACTTCAGGAGCAATTTGAAGAATTTGGGGCAGAGCATGTTGTTGTTTCTGGTTAATCACAATGCTCTAGGGTGGTCAGGCTATTCTATACTGCCTACAAATGAAAGGGTTAAGGGGCAGCCCTGCAACCGCTTGCTCATGCCATTGTTAGTAGAAGGACCTCCACTAAAGGGAGCTATAGAGAGCCCCTTTAGAGGTAACCAGTGAGCTATTGGCCAGTTACCCTGGGCACCAGGGTGTCGAGATGTTAACTACCTCGCCTGGTATGCATTAGGTCGTGGGTTCGATCCCAACCCTGACGCCTAATGTATATTTGGAGTTGTTCTCTGCGGAACATTTGGCCTCCTCTTTAACGCTGACCAGACATCTTGCAAGAGGTGGATGTAACCCATACTTTACCCCACCCGCACATGTACCCTTTGGATGACTACCTGTGGTGGTACCCATTTATAGGGCTGAGTGGCCAGAGGTGGGGGTGGGGGGGTATTTAAGATGCTTTGCCCCATTGTTTAAACGGCAGTGCCTGGAGATTAAAGTCCAGGGCGCTAACCAATTAAACCACAGCAGCATTCCAAACAGAAAGATATGAAATAAAAGTGACCATGCCATGAAGCCCGAGAGCTCGGATGTAGCAAAGTAAATGGTATGAGAGGCCCCTGTTGCCAATGGCATTGCCTGCTTCACCAAAGTGTGATTTTTATGACCTGTAAAATGTTTTCCTCCCCCTGCGGACTTTGTTGTTGTTCAGTTTAACACGTAGGCTTAATAATTGAATACAGTTTTTTTGGGTTAGTATTATTTATTGTTGTTTACTAAAATACCTATCATGTGAAGTGTTATTTGTGATAGCCAACCCAAACGTTACTTTGGATAAGTGTTGAGTCACCAATTAACATTTATAAAGGTAATTTAAAGTGTCTTAATTTTTTTTTTTAAGTTTTGGGATGATCCAATAGATGTTTGTCCACGCTGTATGGCAGAGGTATGGACTCGAGTCATGTGACTTGGACTCGAGTCATGAATTTGATGACTTCAGACTCGACTTGGACTTGCATAACAATGACTTTGTCCCACCTCTGAGGTGTGGACTCGAGTCATGTGACTTGGACTCGAGTCAGACTCGAGTCATGAATTTGATGACTTCAGACTCGACTTGGACTTGCATAACAATGACTTTGTCCCACCTCTGAGGTGTGGACTCGAGTCATGTGACTTGGACTCGAGTCAGACTCGAGTCATGAATTTGATGACTTCAGACTCGACTTGGACTTGCATAACAATGACTTTGTCCCACCTCTGCTGTATGGCAACATGTTCAGAAGATGAATGCCAATGTCGAGGTCAGCTAGTCAAGAAAAGGCTTCAAGACACAGCTTGTTCAGATTTGCTACGACTCAATAGATGGAGCGCAGACCACCGTGGTGATTTCATTTTCCGAGGTCAGCCCCAGGCCTACTTTATATGCTAATTTCACCCAACTCTGGTGTGACCCAAGGGTTATGTCTATTTTTTTTTTTACAAGATATGTATGGATGTTAATTGTTTAGAAGCAAGTATTTTTTATTGACCTTGCAGATTCTGTATTTGGGGATACCAAAATGCTTCACCCAATTTATTTGAGCTATGCATGCAGTTTGCTAACAAAGCGGTGGCAGGTGTTGTGTCAGACTCCACGTGGAGTCACATTGCCCTTAGCCTGGCACAGCTGTCGTGGTGACATCGCTGCTGTTATTGTTTGTTGCTGTATAAGCAATTGCTAAAGGCATCTCCTCAACATGATTCTTTGTCTAAGTCTGTTCGTCAGTTTGTGGATTTTAAAAGTGCTTTCAACTATTTACAACCTTGTTTGAACCAGTTAATTTGGATTGCTATTTATACACATTGCTGTTTACAGGTACGGGTAAACGTTGCTTATCAACAGTGCTTATCAAGGAGGGGTCAATGGGCGAACCTTTTAGACATATCGTCACAGTATTTATACAAAGATCACCCGTATAGCCTTAACAGACTGTAGGAGCAAGTACTGTTTGCGAGCACCAATGAAGGTCGGCACGACACACGAGGGGTGGGTGGCCAGCATCACGCCCTACCGCCTTTGTCTCCCTAGTGGCGATATTCACACATTGCACCAGGTACTCTTTTGAGGCTGAGTTGACCAAGGAGAGGCCCAGGACCAGTTCAGTTCAGATCGTCGCTGGGTTCGTAGCGCAACACACACACAGGTAAAATGGTAAAGGTTCAACCCTGCAATTACGTGTTCAATTGATCAATGTATACTTGTCCGCACATTCGATTAGAATGGTTGACTACGTATGGTGCGAAAGAAGTTCAACGTACATACATAAGTTATAACACAGAAAGTTACGTTTAGCTAGTTACCCAGCTAGCTTGCAAGGGAGATGCGTGGTGCGTCAGCACATAGCAAGAACAACATCAAAGTCATCCGTACAGAACAGCAGGCAACAAGGAAACATGCCGATGCTGGCAGAAAGACCTCCACTGGATAGCCTCTCCAGAGAGCATTTGGCCTACTCTTCTACAATGGAAAAGGTAAGAGCACTCACATTTTAACCCACCACATGCAACCAACAACACAACAAGAACCGCCGTACACCACTAAGTGACGGTGACATCGCCATGGCGCTTGTGCCATGCTAGGTGCACTTTCTGCACACCACAGGAGCTTCCCATATACACACAACCATAACATGGCGTTGTCAGTTCTATGAAGCCTCTTCCAGACAGGATTTGCCAGCAGCTTCAAATTAAAATCTCACTTTGTTCGGGCAGAGTTAGGACGACACAGCTTGGGACATAATTACTCCAGAAAACCCACAGCCTAATTTAGGGATAAAGTACAGTCTAAAACGGGCACATGTTTGAATGAATCATGTACTTTGTCTCTGTGCGGTTTCCAACATCTCACCTTGTAGAAAAAAACTTTTACGCAGTTATGTACGGCAGTTCAAACCACGGTGCAAGTTTTTTAAATCCCCAACCTTTGCCGACCCATCATTATAAATGGGTACATAACAGTTCGTCGACTGGCAGGTCAAGTGTGCTGGGCTAACGTGTGGGTAAGCCCAACACTCTTCCAAGACGTTTGGCCAGTGTGGAAGAGTAGGCAAAAAGGCCCTACAGAGGGCTCCTCGAGCGCTCCCTCTAGTGGAGGCCCGTCCACCCGTAATAATTGCAGGGCTGCACCTTTACCCTTCATACAGCGTCATTAATAGCTGATTGTATATAGCGTGTAATACAAAATAATTCATTATAATTTTCGGCCCCCTTGTCAATTCTTTATCAAGCAAGCTGTTTGTTTGGTCCACTGCTGCATGAAGGCATCCCCTTGCCGTGCCGGGCTATCAATGCCACACACGGCACAAATATATATCTTAGTTCCCCATTATGTTTACGTAGACTGTCCTTTAGTTGCATACGTGTTTTAACGTTTTAATTTTATGCTAAGGTAGCGCTTGACATTTCACAGGTTAGTGCCAGACACATTTATTGCAATGAACAAAACACATTTCTCAGTGAGTGTCGTGGCAAGGCTCATGTGGTAATGTCAAAGCAATGTATTTTAGATGTGAATTAAAGTGATGCACATTTTAAGGAGCACGGTTTTCATTTTGACTCCCAAGGCTCAAGACTCGGTCAAAAGTCTGTCAAAGATAACGCACAATACAGTCTAACACGTAGTCGGAGGCTTTCAGTGGCGGGTTTAACGACACATTTATATTTACGCGATCTAACCCCAAAAAAACCTCGATTATGCACCATGCAATATTAACGCAATGAGAGAGACATTAAGATAATACATTAACGTAACAATGATAAAGCATGAATAATACGTGATTTTCGATCACTTGAAAATGCACCATTGGGAACTGGTTCAGAATAATTTCGCTGATGTCACTTGTCAAATTTTTATCAGCTGTTGCCAGGAATCGAACTTGGATCACTGGGTTTACCATGCAGTACGCTACTCACTGTGCCACCGTTAACAAACGCATAGTACTTTCGTGCATAAAGTATCATGTGTTGTGAATAACACCAACATAGCGTGGCAGAGTATTAATTATTTAAAAGCAAGTGTCAAATGTATTACACCGGGTTTTTTTTACAGACGGTGTTAACTGAATGCTATTTTAAAGGTGAAGAAGTATCAGAGCTTAGGAAGATAGCAGGGTTGAAGAGTGTATTGAAACATGCGGTTTAAGACAAGTTCGCAGTGCACTGAAATCCATAACGTGTGGTCTGTGCTGGTGTCAACCCCCTTTCATATCTCCTCTGTGTGCACCTGCTATCGTTTTGTTGATGAAACACTTTTGGAAGAAAGAAGGTGAAGTTAACATAATATTGAAGTTAAATTAATATTGAGACACGTACGTCGGACTTCTTTCGCGCCGTACGTGCTAATCGGAGGTTGGCGGGTAAGTGTCACCAAAGGTGTGCGTGCGTGCGCGTCTCACCTCTAGGTCCGCGCCGCTCTCCGACGGGAACTCCTGTTCGGGTGGAGGGGACGAGGGCTCTGCGTAGGAGCGCCTGTTCCGGACGATGCTGACCGAGCTGCGCGGGACAGCCACTGCCTCTCTGCGGGGTTTCGGTGTTTTTGATGTTCGGAGGGGAGAGTGGGAGACACACGCACGCACGGAGACAAACAAAGACAAAGATCCCCCCCCCCACCACGGTATAGCCTTTACAGACTGTAGGGGCAAGTGCTGTTCGCTGGGCACTGCGCAGAGACACAGGTACGCATGCATGCACACGCACGCCTTGTGTGGGCGTGACAAATGACCAGCGGCAGTCATTTCCCCCCTAGGTGCAAGTTTGGTTGTTGGTGCAACTGTGTGGTTGGCATGTCGGGTGTTCCCGTTTAAAGAGGGTGTGTTAGTAGTAGTAACCATGCTGCCATAGTAAGCTCGGACGGTGTTTCTGAAGAAGTGTCTATTGTTGTAAACTGGTGACTTTAGATTTCAATCGGTGGCCTTTATTTGATAGATAAAGGCTGATGACGCCAGTGATGGTGATGATGAAGATGTTGATAATGAATGGCTTTTAATTACGAAGCGTGTGTCCCTTGCTCGGAAGAACTGGGGTAACATACACTAACATGGCATTGTGACACTGGCGAACAAATACATGTATCTAAAAACAGTACAGTATATAAAATTCAGTATTGCATATATTGTGACTGCCATTGTTGCTACTTTTTATCATGAATAAACCAACAACATCCAGTTCACTAAACAAATCAGATATTAGTCATTATGATGCTACATATTGAGGCTATCGACATCATATTGACTGACGAGAACACCAATGAGGCTTGAGCAGCATATGTCTTATGTGTGCACGTTGAACTTCTTTCACACCGTACGTAGCCAACCGTGATAATCGGAGTCGAGGGCTAGTGTGGTGGTGGTGCGGTGTGTGTATGTTGAACTGAGATGAGGGAGGCTGACGTTTAATTGTAGAGCGAGGTCAATTTGAAAGGTGTGCAACGCTGCAGAGGTGCCGTAAGGCATGCGCGCACCAAATCACTTTGGCTATTGGCTGTCTGCTCGGTGGGCCACGTGGTACAAAAGGGCCCTTGTAAAGTGGTGGGGGAAAAAAATCAGCCGTTCAAGTGCCGCACTGTTGAGCTTTTTTGATAGTGGTGTTCTGCAAATACAATACTTATGGACTGGCACATTGCAGTAGGAGTTGTATCTTCCCACATTTTGTGGAACGTTACATTCCACAACAGAAGTTAGTTTTATGAGTCAGCATCGTTCAAGCATACCCTATTAATAATTATATATAACCCTTGACCCGGACAAGCCTGCATATTCAGTTGTTTTTTAAAGATAACTTTGACTATCATGATTAAAAATACACGTGCAAGTAGCGGACAATGTTCTTTAAAATCGCGGTAGGTACTTGAAGGATTTGTATTTGTAATAAATGTCAGTTTTGTTACAATGGCTGAGGTTAACTCTGCAGATGACAAGGTCACCAGGGCCATCATTGTCACATTATCATCTTCAGCTTCAGTATTGTCAATTAACTCCACGAGTATAACTTGCTCATTTATTAAAATGTATTGCTCCGTCGTTGAATCCAATTTAGGCACATACGAAGCATTTTTCAGATCACTTGTATCTATTTTACTGGCAGGTGCCCTTATTGCAGTCCATTTAAGTAGAGTAGTTGGATTTAGTTTGCGAATGTAGATAACATATCTATTTTTCGTAGTAGAGGTTTCTTTGTAAATGTGGTTAATTTTACTCTCCAACACAACCGTTGTGCTGAACTAGTAACAAATCGCCATGTTTTGTTTATGTGACAAACCTTACTAATTTGCTGTGTCGGGTGGCAGCGGCGGGTTTAACGACACAATTATATTTACGCGATCTAACAACGACAAAATCTCTATTATGGATTATATTGGTGGCGAAAGCCTATGTGTTAAACTGATATCTCTATTTTCTTTGGACTGCACTGGCTTTGCTTGAGTTTGTATATAATTTCCCACTGCACAAGACCAAACGGATGACAAGCCGCAAGCACTGTAGAAAACGCAAGCGCACCGCCGACACAAGAGAGTGTACAGCCTGTTTGTCCACTGCTGGATGAGGGCCTGTCCAGGCTGCGCAGATCGTGAGGGTTCTTTCACCATACTTCACTACGCTGACAGAGTGCGGGTTGGTGAATGTGGGGGGGGGGGGGGTGAGTACAGTACAACAACGGATTTTGCCACAATGCCCTCTGCTGCCCACAATCCTGAAAAACACCAGGATTATCGCTGGTGGTCGCCAACCAGGGCTCAACTCTGTTTAGCCTCCCAGGCCCCGACAGGATGGGGGTGCATTCCGGTTGACTTGCTCACACAAAACACAAAAAAACACCTCCAATCCAAAAGTATACTGTACTCTAAATGTATTAGTCTCGGGTTCTCAGCCAAATAAGTTTGTTTAACTAATACAGACCGTACACCCCACCGCTTAACCGTCCATTGGATGTCCCATCTGTTGCTCTGGTACCTTTTAGAATTGTCCTTTAAGATGATGCCCATAAAAGGTAAAGGTGCAGCTTTTACCATAGCTTGCTCATGCCACTGCATGTGGCAAGGCGCCTCCGCTAGAGGGAGCTCTAGCAAGAACACTATATTGATGACTAAACTATACAATTTTAAACTATGTTACTAGGTGAGCCACAACTAAGCTATATAGCTCTTTTTCAGAAGCTACCTGGCCACAAATAATGGCTCAACGAAGTGGCTTATCTCATGCAAATGTAAAGCAGTCAAATACTCTAAATGCGTGATGTTGATTCTAAATGTGGAAGGAAAAACCAGTGCACCCAGAGACAAACCCACGTGACCACGGGGAGAGAGACACGCAAACTCCAAATAAACAGGCGTTGGGGGGTCAGGATCGAACCCATGACCGCCTGTATACCAGGTGAGGTAGTTAACATCTCGTCACCATGGTGCCCTAAACAGGGTCATTGCCCTAAACGCTAGCTTTTTCTTTATTTTAAAGCTGTGTTATTTACAAATGTGTTGCGTTTGTGTATTAATTATGCTACTAAACCACTATCAATGTAGTGTCACCAAACAATTAGTTTGCTTGATAAAGGAGTCCCTTGACAATGCAACAGGGCGGAACGCCAAAAAGTCTTTCAAGAATGAATTTCCATGCAGAGTTATGTTTTTTTGTTATAACTATGTATTGGCCTACTCATCTCTAAACACATCCATCAAATTCATCCCTAAATTGGCAGTGACTGATAACTGTCAAAGCAATGTTTCCACTTGAGGCCAAAATCGTTTCACCCGACGAAATTTGATTCCAGAGTTTTGGGAGCAAAAAAGAGACTGGCTCTTGTTGTTGTCACATTCCAAAGGGCACTTAAATCAAGCCTCGTGGCTGGAAGCTTCTTGTACTCGCAATTCATCATTGCCTGCTGAACTGACAGGTTCAGGTAGTCAAAAGCAGCCGGGATGGCGTTAAATCAAGTGAACGTGAGTGACTGCCCCGCTCCCTCTAGTGGCATACAGCAATAACTCATAGATATCGAATAACTCTGAGGCCCTAAAATGAAACAAAATAGGTGACGCTTCTTGAGCAATGGCCCTTCTTCATAACACGTCTTCTTCTTCGCAGAAGAAGCGCCATTTGTTTACTTTTAGGGCCGTGGTATTATTAACGAATGTGTTTAGTTTTTTTTATCACACGCTTGTTCACCACTGCCAATGCATGAGTACAATAAAAAAAAAAATGTGTTTATCTCTTCATGGTTAATGCAGACATGATGAATCCTTGTAAAAAAGGTTTCAGTTTTGTTGCCAGAAAAAAGGAGAAAAACCCTATTATTATATTTTGGTACTGGCAAAGGAGGTCTAATGATGTAGATGCTCACCCCGAGCCGTCATTACTTTGATAGTACATTGTCTTTGAGCTGTACGCCTTTTGGCGTCCTCTGGTCGAGCACCAATTAGGTCGAGGCTCAAAAGAAAGCCGTCCCTTGGTGTGGACCAATCAGTTTCAAGGACAATGCATATATTATCATAATGTGTTTTTTGCATTTTGACTGCAAGTATTGTGGTTAATGCAGACATAAATCCTCGTAAAAAAAGGTTTCAGTTTTGTTGCCTGAAAAAAGGGGAAAACACTATTATTAAAATGTGTTTAGTTCATCAGTGAACAGGCGTTGATTGACCTGTCTATTTACTGGGCATGCATAGAGGCATCACATAATTGATTAAAACAGATATTGTCTTCATACATACATCAAATCATGAATATATTAAAACTGTTATATACAGTGTAAGGAAATCACATGCAAATGATGTGCTGTTGATACATATCTGTGGATAACGGAGCACACAATATTACAAATGAGGCACATGTACAAAAGAAAACAACACAAATGAGACAGTAATCATGAAAGAAAACACGTTTTTTTCCCTTAAACCGTCCACTTAAATTGTGATAATTCATCCAATTGCTGCCAAAGAGGGGGGGGGGGGGGAGTAGAATAATTATATTTAAATTGCATTTAGCTACCCAGCCTGCTGACTCGGGAGCAGTCATGATGCTTTGAGAATGAAGGTGTCTGGGTGGCTCGGGGAGCTAATACCATGCCACTGCTGAGATCCTGGGTTTGAATCCAGGCTACAGCCACCTGTGGTAACTTAACATGAGGTTCTCAAGTTTTGTGCGTTGATGGTGTTAGCCTGGCGACCAATATTCATACAAAAACACAAATTTGGTTCTTCAAATGCTATCGCCACATTTCGGACCTAACACCTAAATACATTCAGTTTTTAGAATAGGGTTTCCCCTTATTTTCTGGCAACAAAACAGGTGTTAAGATGTTAAAACACCAAAATGCAACCTTTTACAAGGAATCATGTATGTATTAACCACAATACTTGTGGTCAGAATGCAAACAAAAAACATACTCTGATTATAGATGCATTAAATCTTGACTTAGAGCTTTGGTGACTGCAGGAATTCATATTATTGGGTCTTTCGGTAAAGTCAAGTAGATAGGTTCAAAGAAAATAACAAAAAACTACGACGTTTCAATCGCAACACAAGCGG